GCCAACTAGTGGTCAGAGGCTGAACTACAACATAAAAAATGAACGGCTGGCAGGAAAGTTGACATTTCAAACCTTAATAAAAAATCGATACAGGGCTTTAGAATATCGATACAGTATCGGGGAAATGAAATATCGCGATATTTCAGTGTATCGATATTTTCTTACACCCCTAGTATTGACATGCCAACCTTTCCCCTCATCCAGTGTTTTCTCTGCCAAATTTTGCAAAAAACATCAGATAACCAGAAAAAGATGTGGTCATATCTGATAAACCTCCGTCCCCTACCCACAATGCCGTGCGTGCAGAAAACTATGAAACGATTTATTGGCCAGGGGGAGTGTGGAGTAGTTGCCGGTAGGCTGCAACTTTAGCTAGTTTTTGCTGCTGAGCATTTTGAACCACTCAACAAAGCACTGACACTCCAACGTTTTACCTCGTCCAGTGTTTTCTCAGCCATAGATTGCCAAAAAATGTGGATATCTTTACCTGATAAATGAAAAAGAAAAGAAAAAAGATTGTGTCCATAACACCCCATAACAATGCAGATTTCTTTGTATCAAAAATCTCTGAGCCCTACCCATGCCGCCATCTGCACAGGAAACCTTTGAATTTACCTAACAGGTTGACTTAAATTGAATTAGTAGACGTATTGCCATTGATTGGTTTCTAAGAGTTTCATTAAAATCTGTTGATCACAAGATATTTTGCTAACGATGCAAACGAACAAACACACAAACAAAAACCTTCAACAGCAGGTGATGATAATCTGTACCTTTTCATTTCTAAGATTTAAAAAAAAACACAATAAATAAATATCTCCTGCTCCTAAAATTTGAGTGCATTCTCATTTTTTAAAATTATTATTCTGTTCATGTCTGATGCTCTCTCAGAGCTTCCCAGAACAACAGGAAATGGGCAAACACGCACAACAGGCGTAATTTGCAGAGCGATTTTCCGAGAAATGCTGCATATAATCTGCAGGTGCACGTTCATTGATACGCAGTGAAACCTCTCTTCTCGTGCAGGCTAATTATGGTTCGTTAAGGCTGTCATAGCTGCTGGTCATTACTGAGGGGGATCGATGCCCAATCAGGTTCTAGACGTGGACTCAGGAGCTGAAATAAAAGCCTGACTTAGGATGGATATTTATCAGATTTTTAGTGTCCGCGTTGTTTTTTATTCTTTGAAAAAGAAAAGGTTGGGTGAACAACATGCACATATGTTTGTTTATTGAAAGGCTTGGCCACAAACTGGTCAGAAACATCAGCTCCCTCATAAGCTGGAACAAATTTATTCCTGCAGCGAACATCACCACACACACTGACAACACTTGACTCCGGTTTATAGCTTGACAAGAAAGCAGACAGTGTGAATCGTGACGTCTGCAACTAGTCTGACACATTCACTGCTTATAAATGTACTCAGTGAAACATTACAGAGCTGTTTCACTTATAAGAGATTATTTTAAGCTGAAATTATGGAGACGTGCTTACATTAAACATGATGGTGCTGTCAGTGGTCACTGGCCTGGTGGCAAGGAATTACAAGGGATTGAGCTGCCATCAAGTGGACAATGTGAGGATGGCAGTTCAGTTTCAAAAACTGAATGCAAATTGAAGTTACTATAAGTGTAAAAATATACACATAAAAATATGGAATTAATTATTCTGTGACACCCCCCTTCCAAAAAAAAAGGGAAAGAAAGAAAATGAGGAAAATATTTTCTGCCACTGAGACAAACAAGATAAACCCTCACATCTATAGAGACAATTTAACAATTCACAAATCATGTCACTTTACACTCCAAAGCGTTTACACTTCAATCATTGCCACTGTGGGTGGGAAGCTACCCACAGCTTTTGTGAGAGAGGAAACTGGAATACCTGGAGAAAACCCACGCATGCACTGAGAAAACACGCAAACTCTACCCAGAAATGTTCCAGTGCCAGGATTCAATCTGGCAACCTTCTTGCTGAGAGGCAACTGAGTCACTGTACCATGAATTATGAGCAGAACAGACACTAACATTAGCTAAACTGTATCTAAAGTTTAAAGGGATCCGTCACTTGTTGTGACACACTTTATTTGATAAACATATATTTTAACTGTAAAATAAAGACTGTAAAAATACTGTAGGCTTTTTAGTTTTTATAATTTTTAAACTAAAAGTTTAAAAATATATTACACAGATAGGGCCATTTTATTTACACGCAAAGCATTCTGGGTAAATGATGACATTGATAGGTCATCTG